CTGGATGCTTTTCCCCTCATACTTCTCTGTTTCCCCACACCTGCGCTGAGCGTGCGATAGAAGGTAGAACGAGGGAAGGCTGAGATGACAAAAGCTGTGCGAAAGCATCTCCTGTCGAATTGGAGAAATTGAGAGTAGCTATTTGGTTCAGGTCAATTACAGGGTGATGACCCTTTTAGTAAAATGACTCACAGAAAGAGTTTCGATAGGCTTCCCTGGGGTTCGTTGTTAAGGGTTTGACATGTAAATCGTGGAGCCGTCACTCTGAGCTTAAAACCGATAATGGGAATTGGACTATACAGCTGTCTTTGTTGTTTCTTTCACAGATGCTCTCAAGGGCCAAACCTGCTGTAGGCGGGGACGTGCAGCACACTGACAAAAGAAAGAAGAAAGGTAGGAAGATTCCAAAACTAGAGGAGCTACTTTCACAAAGAGATTTCACTGGAGCTATTACCCTATTGGAGGTAATGTCCAAAGAAGGTTACTTTATAGAAGGTGAATTCCAGACGATAGATGAATGCTTGGGTGAATGCTTGTTGCTATGCTGTTGGAACAGGTGGGTTCATTCTGGGGCTTCTTCAAGGAATTGCCTAAAAATCTAGTCAGATGCAGATTCCAGATGAACTAAAAAAAAATAAACTTATTTCTTGAGGGGTATTTTTAATTATGTCTAGTCCCATTGATAGTAAATACAACCTGCAAATATGGAGGGATATTTAATATGGTGTCAGTTCACACATTGTTTATCCCAACCCCTGACCAATTGATGCTTTATTCCTATTATGTGTTATAAAATTTTGATCAAATTTCAATAATTCCACCATGCTTATTGTTGAAAATATTGTATCCCCAGAAAGTATTTCAAATCTTTATGGCAGTAGTTCTCACCTTTTAATATGCATTGGAATTATCTAGGGTACTTATTAAGATGTATATGCCTGGTGATTCTTTAGGTCTGCAGTATTGCTCAAAAATCTGCATTTTAGGCAAGTACTTTAAGTGCTTCTGATATAGATGGTCCAAAGAGACTGTACTTTGAGAAAATGCTTTGTGGAAAGCACATGTTATAGAAGGGTAAAGGGGTATACCAAAGCATGAAGAATTTTGATAGCATGGTCTGGGTGTGTGGTGCCACAGTCATTTCTCCAAAATGCTACTCTATTCATATTACTCTGAATCTATCAACAATAATTGTTTTAATTAACTTTACATATATTTTTCAGTCTTCCATGTATAGTCCTATGTTTCTTACTAGTGCTCTGCTATTGAGGACATTATTTAGCTTTTTGTTGTCATCTTTACAGTAGGGGATTTGACTTGGAAGGGCTTTCTAGCTGCGGAAATCAGTGGACTGAGTGCCTATGTGTATGTCTATTTTTTGTCAGTCTGTTCTTTTCCTTGCTTTTCTTTAAGACAATGACCACATTTTCCTTGTTGCATAACCCCAGACTGCCTTTACATTGTCAGGAGGGCTCTGTTCTATGTTTACTTTCCTAGGCAGCTAGTTGGAATACCATGCTGCATGGGAATAGGGTGAGAAAATCTCATGAGCTCTCCTGTGGCTCCAGGGAATTCCTGGGGCAAATTCAAGGAGACCTCAAATAAGAATTTCTCCATACTTAAGACACTATACTCAAATTCAAAGCATTCGGTGAGAGAAGGACTTCTGATGTTGTGTAGTTAGGTACAGGATTAAATTCTTATCCCAGACAAGAAAGTATCAAAGGAATGTCTTCATTTTATAATGACTAAGGTACCTAAAGTTCTGTAGTGATGCTCTGTAAATACGTATCGGCTCACTGTTTGATTTGTTACCCTATAGAGTGAAAAAAATCTCATTTTTTGCAATGGTAATTCAGAATCTTCCTTTAAAGTTTCAGTCCTTTCCTCCAAAATAGGACT